ATACCCACACCCACACCACCACCAACACCCACACACCCGCGTATATACCCACACTTAAACAATCATTCCACTCTTCACACCCACACCCACACCCACACCCACACCCACACCCACACCCCTATTTAAATTTGTAGGATGTTCCGCATTAATGCGCAACCAAAAATGAAGAAAATAACATTTTGTATAGACACAAGCAATGTGCATTGGTGAATCAAAGTCAATTAAGTTGTTTTAAGTTTAATATATTTTTCTTCATTGATAAGTTTTTCTTCGATATTTAAGCGTTTTAAAATTGTTGATAATTTTTTTAACAACACCATCTTTTATTTCTTCTGTTTGTAAATTTGATGTTTTACGTAAAAAATATTGAATTAATTCTGTGAGTGTCATATATTGTTTTCGTAAAAGTAAATTACGAACTTTATCTTCAGTAATTATTTGACTAAAATATAAGAAGAAAATAATTTTCAATAGAAAAGAAAAGAAAAATAAACCATGGATTTAAGAATGCACTTGGTAAAGACATAACTTAAGATTTACTAGTAATTGCTCGCATTTCTTCTTTTTTTGTTTTCATATGATCTTCTTTCAAATTGAAAATAATTAAAATAAATTTTACTGTCAAGTTTCTTTTAGTTAATCAAGTAAGAAAAATCGAGAGTTCGAAAGATTTTTCATCCGGTAGTCTTTATTTATACATGCTTGAAATCTTTATAAAATCTTTGCAATAAAAATTAAAATAAGTTAGTTTCTATAGAAATAGTTGATGAATCAAGTAGAAAAGATCAAAATTTTTTAAAAATGTTCTATCTACCGAAAAATGAAATTTTCGCTTTTAAGACAATATTTTATTTCTATATAAAGAAACTATAAATCGTATTTTCTATCGAGCAAAACAAATTCAGTGAAGTTTCCTTCATATACAATATAAAGATGATTTTGTTCATTATGCAAATAAAGTTATTCAAGCTTGTTTCAGAAACATACAAGTGATATTTATGACTTATATTCCGTCTTTTTGATAATATCTTGAATTTGAAAGAATAATTTTGAACATTCTGTAGTCAGTGTCATCGTAAGATAGATAGTTTGACAAAGAAATAAAAAACTAGAGATATTCATTATTAGTTTTAATTTGTTCAAATGGAATATTGATAGAAGCCTAGGTAAAAAAAATCTTGTCTCTAGTCGAGAACAAAAATTTATTCTATTTACCGCAACTGGTTCTTTATTAGGATCATCTGAACTGGATTCCATATCTAAAATTATTTTTTTTTTATCATAAATTTGTAGTTTTAATTTTAGCGTAATTTTAATACATATCTTTACTAACTGCATCATGTTTGAGTCATTCATCAACATCTGATAAATTATCAGCTGCTTTTTTTATTATTTTTTGCACCATTATCATCTATAGAAAAAAAGAAACAAATTATTCTTTATAGATGACATTGTTTTAAACTTAAACCTATATGAAGAATATCTTCATCACCAACATTATCATCAAAATCAACTATTTCATAAATATTTGTTGATGTAAAGGCATACCAATCTTCAACAGGATATGCCTCAAAACCATCTTTATCTTCTATAAATACATAATAAGATAAATTTGTAGTAACATCATCTTTTTTTATCCACGACAATGTTTAAATTTCTTTTGTGTTGATGAATGATTCAGCTAATAATCATTGGTTATTAACCAAGGAAGATCTTCAATATTTATCTCTTCAGTTATATAATGTTCTTGTTTTAATGCATCTTTTTCTTTACGGTCATATTCATGTCTTGCACCGATTTTAAGTGAAACAACACCAGTTGATGTTGATGATGCATTGGGATCAAGATTTGTTGCTGAAGGATAAAGGGTGTCCCATAATAACTGATGATAATATGTTTGTGATATTTTTCATACTGTTGCTTGATCTAGTGAGCTGAAATTTTTACCACGTATATATCTAGTCATGATCATTCATTTCTCAAAGTTTCAGTTCTCCAGTTAAAACTAGTCGTTAAATCCATTGACACGATTAAAACACAAAAATTTTCGAATTCGATTTTTGCAATATTTTCACTGAGACATAATGATTACAACATCTTGAATTTCACATATATCTCCAATGAAGAAAATGATAGTTTCGAATTTTCCTTTAAGAGATGTGCCGTGAAAAGCTCTACAAAAATTGCCTAAAAAGATTCCTACTGACTTGCTGTAATGATTTTTTTTCATACTCAAAATGAACAATCTGTATGATACAGCAATGTTCCATCATGTTGGGCAGAATAAAAATTTTTGGACAATATTTTTTTATTTTGCAATAAAGATTCATTTATACAATTTTTGTAGAGGTTTTTAAGACACATCTTTAAAAAAATTCCAAACTTTATTATTTTCTTAAGTTGAGATATATGTGAAATCCAAAATATTGCAAAAGTCAAGTATGAAAATTGACGTATTTCAACTGTGTCGATGAATTTCACGACTAGGTTTAGTTAGAGAACTGAAACTTTCAGAAATAGAAGATCATGATTAGATATATAAATGATAAAATTTTAACTCTCTACGTGAAGAAAACGTATGAAAAATATCAAAAATAATTTCTCATCAGTTATTATATGATATCATTTATATACATGGATTGATTTCAGATCTCATTTCCAATTGCTTTCCAATCTTTTATATCAACCGATGAACCGTTTGTAAATTTCATAATACCATATCGATATTCATTCAGTTCTATAAAAGAAAGATTAGAGACGTTGTTTTTAGTTCAAAACAATTTTTTTATCTATTTGCAACATCCATAATTAGAAATCAGATTATTTATTTCAACGAATTTCAATTATTCGAAGTAAAAATAAAGAAAAAATGAGTAGAAACAAATGTTATCAGAATCAATTCAAAGAAGAAAAGGCTTTCAACTGTACAGAATATGCCATGATATGGGATGGAACGAATTGTGCTTTCTCATGATATAATCTGTTATTTCATTTCGTAGCTTGAGTCATGTGTTTGTTTCTCTTATCTCGACTCTAATAATCGCTATTATTGAACAATGCAACAAAGAATATGAGTCAATGCGCATACTGACAAAATATTATTTATGAAATAACAAGAGTTAAAGATGAATTGCGATACATCGTACAAATAAAGATAAAAAATATGATGCATTTATTTCATACAAAGCAATGATGTAGAATTTAGAAGGAATATAATGAACAAATTGCTGTTTTTTTTAAGTGTATATATTTTGATACGTCTAAAGAGGCTTACAAAGGAAATATTGTAGTATAAATGTTGTCATTTATTCGAAATTACATTTCATATTTTACTAAAACTAGATTAATTTTTATTTTCGATTTATTAGAGATAATAGGATTGAAAAAATTGACCCAAACATATTTTTCTTCCATTTATATTACATTTCTTTTCCCTAATTCTTCGTCGTAAATCATATCTATTTTTTCTCTTTTCTGTACGTCAAAAATGAAAATATGTAGCTATGTTGTGGTCAACACAGCAAGAAAAAAGAATAATAACATTTTATCTTATGTTAGATGGATGAACTTTAAAACATTTCGCTGTATTGACCGAATGCGACTTTTTTCGTCGAATTTGTTCGGTTCATGAGAAACAAATGAAAATCTTTTTCTCTATATCGGATATTGACATAGAACAATAATAGTACTCGTATATTAGACGAAATAATATACTTTAGGATGATCTGTACGTATTTTCTTGTATTTATCTACGTTTGAGTTGAGTTAAGATAGAAGAATTATGCAGACCCGTAGTCAGAAATTTTCTAAACGGGATGCACGTCAACGGAGAAAATGTTTGATACTGCGAATAATTTTTTTAGCTCTGTACTCCCTTCCAGGTGGTTTTTCTCGAAGGACGGTGCATTAGCACCTTCTGTACCTCTGGCTATAACCCTAGAATTATGTAGTTAAAGAACCAAAGATAATGTCCTTCTTTATGATCTTAATACTATTGAAATAAACTAATCGTTTATCGCTTGAATTTTAATTGTACTTTGACAGTGCTTTCATCTGAATGACTTTAACAGTAATGAAACTGTCATCGGTCTGAACTTTTTGTTAAAATGGAAACCGAAAAATTTTCAATATAGACTCTGATTAACAAGATATACAGTCATTCTGAAGCGTTTATAAAGTTACGAAAAATCTGAAAAAGATTTATTATGATATAATGTTTAAAATATTTCAAAATTTCCTTGTATAAACTTTCTTTTATCCATGCGTAATGCAATCATAGAGAGTAAATGTCTGTAATACAGAGAAAATTAGTGACGTTATGTGGATTGACTAAGTGTATAGTTATTCGGTAGTCAGTGGAAAATATTTTTCTAGGAATATAATCCTTAAAATGTATTCTGTCAAATATAGTGGAACTAAGCTTAACATTCTTTTTTTTTCTATTCATGACGATTCAGTTTATTCGGACGCTGTCGTGTTATATCAGCGAGGAAGTACATACATCGCTGTATCTTGTAATATATTAGCCTTGAGCAATAAATAATATATGGCATACAATGTGTACCAGGAAAAAAAAGGTGGCAGTTTTTACTGCAATATACAGTGCGGGGTAACGGTGAGTTCAACAACATAAGTCACTAATTTTCCGTTGTCATTGAAAATAGCTATTTACCCTTTCATATGTCTGTACAACAAAAATTTTCTTTTATTCTAGTAGAATAATCAAATCAAAAACTGAATTAATAAAATTATAAGATCGAAAGTATTAATTTCATATATTTATATAAGATCGAAATGAAGAAAAACAAAGATATACTTATTCATTAAAAGGTCGTACTCACTGATCTTTCAAGACTTATAGGACTTTTTATTTTTAAATCATCTTTTAATCTAAGTAAACACTATTTAAACATTAGTAATATTGATGTAATCTTCTAAAATGAATATCATTTTTTTGTTTTTATTTCGTTACACCACGCAGTGGACAATTTCTATAGAGAACATGAACATGATTTATTTTCTGTCGAAATCGTATTTTTTCATAGAAATATGATATTAGTTGCTACTACTCAACAAAAATGACTCATAAACACGTGAAATCTGAAAAAAAAATTTTACTTGAAAAACTAATAAACTATATATTATTCAGTACAGTTGTTCACGTTGATTTCTAATATGCCATCACTTTTGTTTAAAATTACTTTGGAAACCAGAAGATCATGAAAAATCAAGGGTTTTTTTGTAAAACCTCAAAACTATATTCAGAAATCTTTACGCTAACTGAGCAGACATGTCAGATAGCGAAAAACATTCTGCGAAAGTTTCATCTAATTTGGAGCTGTGCTAAAATGTTCGCACCCATTACACTGAACATATCTTTTTGAAAAATCCTTAGTTGAGAAGGAATACATATTGTTTTCCAACGGGAAAAGTGTTAGAGCAAAAGTTCGAATTTCAGAACCTGTATGATTTATTTCTTAGACCTTTCCATTTTCTTTGGAAACAGATACTTTCCTCTCAAATGACAAAAATCTTGCCATTTTTTGAGTCTAATACTTTTTCAACGCTTTAAAGAGCTCGAATAATAAATTTTTATCAAAAAAATATTGGGCATTGTTCAAATCGCAAAAAAATCACGTTCATTTTTTCACCACATATCCACGTTGTTGTCCCCTGTGTATCAGTCATTTTATTGATGAATAATAGTGATTGAACCTATAAAAAGAAAAGTATTATATATCTTTCATTTTAGATAAAATGATGACTAGATTTGAAACATTACCTAATAAAATTCTTCTTTATATATTATCTTATCTTGAATGGTTCGATATGTTAACATCTTTATGATCATTAAATATTCGGTTTAATTCTCTTGTATGTTCAATTCTTTCGATAAATGACAGTCGATTGAACAGTGGTCTTCTTATTACACGTGAATTATCTTATAATAAGTGTTGTTCAATATTATTTCCATTGATTTTAAATTCATAATCTCTTTCCTCTTCTATTCAACGCATTCATTTTGATGACACAAATTCAATTTCTTGTGATTTTAGTTATGAATGGTTGTTTAATGATAATAATACTCTTCGTTTTCCTAATCTTAAATCACTTATTCTCATTCGATGTGACTTAATTCAATCAGTAGTTCAAAGTTTATTTTATCTTATTAAACATCAATTAGATGAACTTAAATTAACATTTGATGAACACGTATTCAAACGGTTTTATTATACAAAAAAATATTTGTCAGTGGTTTCTGATAAAGGTAATCAGTCATTTATTTGATAGATTCTATAAAATAAGATAGGATTATTTGTCTTGAAGAGATCATCCTCAACTGAGACGGGTGTGGGTGTGGGTGTGGGGTGTGGGTGTGAGTGAATGTGTGAGTGTGATTGTAACCATTAAAAGATCAACACCCACACCCACACCCACCCACACCCTCCTTTGATAGTTTTTCAAAATTGTCAAAAAATATTAAGAAATTATTTTCTTCTGAAAAAAAAGTAAACTGTATTCATTTATTTGTTTAAAAATAGTAAAGTCTGCTGATACTTTTTATAATGTTGATAGATATTAATCACGGAATTTTTGTGTTCTTATTATCAGTTTGATATGGTGGAATGATATTTATTCAATAAGCAAAAAAAATGATGTTAATACATAGTATAATCACCGTCAGCTAAAATTAGAGCTTCAATGCGTTTTTCCATGCTCTGTACTAAGTTGTTGCAAAATTCAAGTGGTAATTTATTACATTCTCATTTAATTAATCGAATGAGAGATGGAATATTGTTTGGTTTTTTCCATCGCCGCCCGAATCTTCAAAATATTCCACAAATTCTCTGTTGGATTGATATCTGGTGAGCACGCGGGCCAAGGTAGGCACTTGATTCCATGTTCACGTTTCCACTTCTTGCTTTGTTTTGATCTATGTTTAGGATCATTGCCCTCAAGCAATTTGAAATCAGGATCACGACCGAATAACTGGCGAGCCGATTGACGAAGCGCTTTTCCATAAATTTCTTCACAAAAAAATTTACTTGTCAAATTTTGTTTGAAACAAACGATTTTACCAAAACCACTACGAGCAAAGCAGGCCCATACATTAACCTTCGGAGAATGTTTGATACTTCGAAAAGCCGTTCGATGTCCTTTAAGTTGTCAGCGACGTTGTTTGACTGGTCCTAATCTGATTGTACACTCATCAGAAAAAATAACCTTATTCCAATCTTGTCTTTGCATTAGTTTTGCCCACTTCAAACGTCGTTTTTTATGTTGCATAGTAAGAAGAGGTTTGGAAAGTGGTGCGTAGTATTGATAACCAGCTTCTTTTAGTCTTCTTCGGACTGATCGGGAACTAATTTCCACTTTCTTTCGCTTTAAACTATGACTGATCGATACACTAGTTGGATAATCACTTTCTTCTAATTCGGTGATAATCATTTCATCTTCTTCAGCTGTTGTTATACGAGGTCGACCTGATTTTGTTTCGTTCGATAAATCCTTTGTTTCCTTCCAGCGAGCTCGCCAGTATCGTACATTTTTTGTATCACAACGAATAAGACTAGCAACTTTCTTGTTACCAAGTCTTGGACCTTTATTATGCTCCGATAGGAAAATAATTTCATATCTTTGGTGCAATGGTAAATGATATGTTGACATGATGAACGAGATAACGATAGTTAATTGTGCACAAAAAAACGTATTTTTGAAAAAAGACGCACACAACAAGAAGATAAATGTTAAATACTGTGTATTGACATTCACTAATGTTCTTATAAAGACATATCCACGTGTCTTTTTCTGTTCTTTTCTTTTGTATAGAAAACGAAATAGTAAATTCTTATAACTTTTATCCTAACATTCTGAACGGCACACACTAATGCTCTGTAATATGAGAAATACAGAAAAAAAATAGTTTTTTTTCACAAATGGTTGGAAATATGACATTATCTAAGTTATACGTTAATGGTACTGATCTTGGAATTTCCACGTACTGTCAAAAGGATTGTATCTAGATAATATCTATCAACATTATAAAAAGTATCAGCAGACTTTACTATTTTTAAACAAATAAATGAATACAGTTTACTTTTTTTTCAGAAGAAAATAATTTCTTAATATTTTTTGACAATTTTGGAAAACTATCAAACTTTGTCATAATGATCTAAAAACTGACTACTAAAATATATTTCTTGTTTTCCATGATACTAATGAATTTTCTAAGATTTTTTTTGATAGAAATGGGCTTCTATGTATGCTAGTTCTATATTTAAAATATGATATCAATTGCTTGAATATTCGAGCGTCTAGACCTATGACAATTTCTCCATATTCATCATAGCACTACTTCACTCTAGTAAATGATATATGTCTAAAAATTTTATGGAACTATCGAGACCTATGAAGGAACCTTTCCTATAAGTTTGAAGTGGATCTGTCAAACTTTCATTAAATTATGAAGTACACAATGAGATTGAACCGTTTTACCATACATCGATCCTTATAGTAAAATGAGTCTAGATCCACAACGGCTCGGTGAACTTCAATGAAAATTTTATTGTAGATAGCCAGAGTAAACAGCTACAGAATGAAACAAGCCGCGACTCATAAAATCTTATCGGTTCCAAGTTACGAAATGCACAATTGAAGCAGACGCCATCCGTTATAACTCTCTTATACTTCATGCGATCGGGATGCGGGTTGTATCTCTGACCTACATTAATCAAGAACTATATACATACAAGTTTTCAGATCTGCATTCCTTCTAATAGCTGAGATCCAAGGGGGGGGAGGGATACTTTTGGCCACCTGTGTAAATATAGGCAAGACTGATCCGAATCTTTCATTTTTTTTTCAGATATTGAACTCACCTGTACTCATTTTTCTGTCTATTTTACATATCCAATGGAGAGTAGTTAGAAAATTGTCCATTTACTTCGCATGCTTGATTTCAACAAGAGAACCTTGATACAAAAAAATACACAATTATACTCAAACTCAACAGAAATAGGCAAAAATTTGACTATATTTCGACCTTGTCGCCGAACCATATCTCTGTTGTCATTTTGTCGAGACTATCAATCGATAGAGCTTGAAGAACTATCCTTATACACCAAATTTCACATTGCAGCCAAACTGGCTTTCACAAAAAATCATCCCGATAAAATCCTATTTATTTAAAAAAGAACAAAGGGACAATTTCTGCACCGAAATGTCCTTTTGTTTTTCAATCGTTATATTTTTTTTCGACGTACAAAGTTCAGATTCGTAGAGAACTCGAAATTCTCGGTTACAAAAAATCCAAACAAATTGCGCTAAATTTTAGTGAATAATGATTCCAGCAGGGCTATAATAATGAAAACCGGTATCTATAGAATAGTTAGGACTATTCCAAGAATCAAAGAATTTTGAAAGCTCTCATTGTCATATTCGTACTTAGCATCCTTGAATCTACAAGGATATCTGGTTTTGGTTCGTGAAAAAAGAAATTTTCTTTTTTCATGATACCCGTCGAAGAGCCCAGGCACAAAAATTGTTAATATTATTTTTGTAGAAGTAAAATTGAAAAAAATGATCAGGAACGATGTCTTTTTCAAACTTAATAGAAATAAATCAATTGTAAGAAAGATCTCGAAATGGCTTTATCATTCCTCCTAATCCTCCTTTTTATCACTAATAATCTCAACTCTTATCTTTAAACATATAAGACTATTCATATATTATTAATAATCGTTATTAATTTTTCTTAATTGTTTACTATTAATAAGAGTTTAGAACTGATTTGTTTTTGTTTCTTTGTTATGCTTGTGTTGTGAAAAGTTTAACGACACTTATTGACTTATTCTATAGACATGTCTATTAAGAAACAAAACAAAAAATGAAGAATTATGTAAACATGATTGTAAATTAATTACTGGAGATTATTGTATTTTACGATAATATCATAGTTGTTGATATCAAAGTGTAACAGAACTATATATCATATTTTCGTTTGTAACAAAAAATTAAAAAAGCTTGACACTTGTATTCGACTAAAATATAGAGTTCACACAGACAATTCATGCTTTTAAGAAGAAAATCTAAATGAAAATGTATTATTTTATATTTGAAATAGATCAATATTTTCTCTATAGCATAAGTTAGAATTAGTTCTACGAGTTTGAATTGTATTTGAAATGAGAAAGACAAATTCAGAATTGTACATGTCAACTAAACCGTCTTTGTCTATTATTCTTTTTTTTCTGATATTTCCAAAAAATAAATCAATGCTAGATTTTTTTTTTTCTTATATTGAAAACTTGACATATGATACAATAATATTCAAACATCATTAAAATCATTCGTGCAGTTTCTTGTTCAGTGTGATTCTTTTTTTGTTTTTTTCTAAACAAGATTTTTATGAAAAACAATCATTTTTTTTATTTATTATTATTCGATATTGTTTCGTCAACAAAGTATACAAAAAAAGTTAAACAAAAATTTCAGCAACAAACAAAAAAAGCATGTAAGTGTGAATATGTTCTCAACAACAAAACAATATGTTTTATTGTATTTTTTCTATTCAAATGGTATTATACTACTTCTTTTGTTGGAATATAATATTCGACTATTATGTTGATACATTATAATATAAATATTTAATATACATTTATTCATATGTAAATAATTCCTTAATACGATGTTCAATTCCAAAAAATTGTACATTTTCAATATTTCTACGAAATTTTCGATTTTCGTTACTCATACATTCGAATTTTGCTAATATATCACTTGTAAATAAACAACTATTTGTCGATGATAACCATGTATTTTTATCAAATATCAATTGACAACAACTATCATCATACCAAAAATTTGTTTTTCTAACAAATATCCACCTTCTAAACTTTGTAGTCGATGAGGTGTACCAAATGAAAAATCATTAGAATAAGATCCTAGAAATAAATAAAAAAATTCATGTATCAAATTTACAAGTAATCTTGTATTCATTCTTATTTTTGACCAAGTATGTTCAGTTAATGTTTGTTTATCTTGATAAATGACATAATTTAATCCAGCTAAACCAAGTATAGGACTAAATTTAATATCATATACATTTAATTCTTTTGTAATAATGTTCAATTAATGAATCTTCATCTATATTTATATTACACTTTTCATTATATGTTAACAATAACAAAGATAGAAAACGTTTTGATTTCATAATAACATTTTAAAAATATTCTACATGAAAATCATTCATCATATTATTAATATACATAAAGTTATCTTTAAATTCAGTCATGTCTTTAAAAATAAGATGATGTAAATGGATAAATGATTTTAAACCAGTTTCCTTTATGATATCTTCTATTCGTTCATTATCAACATATAAACGTGAATAATGAAATAATGATATTAATTTAATTAAATGTACATTTTTTTCACATAATACTTCATTACTATCTTCATATTTTAAAAGACATATTTTTAATGTCATTATAAATACATGAACAATTTTTTCTATTACTTTAATTTCATTATTTATATTTTTGTGATTATAATAAAAAATTAAAATTTTTCCAACTGTCCATTGTAGTAGACGATCGATATTTTCTAACGATATATCTTTATATGGTAAAAATAGTTGAGTTTTTATTGAAGTTAAATTACAATTTGGCCATTGTACTTCAATATCTTTAGATTCATCATATGATTTAATTTTTGAAATAATATTTTGTTCATTGTAAATATATTTTAACAACATATTAAAATCCATGTTACTTTGTTTTATATCTAAAATACAAAAATAAAATAAAACAAATTTATTCATTTATATCATACAGTAACAATTATAAGTTATAACCATTATATATACAAGTGATTTTTTTATGTCAGATTTTTTTTGCTAGTTCTACTTAGTCATTTCGCAGTACAAGTCACATACTGTATTTGTTTGACTGTATATTGTTGGGAATTTCCCTTCTGATCAATGACGAAAACAAAGACTTCATCTTGAAATGTTTTTTGTGTTTCTTGTATAAGATAATCGTTTTGTTTTTTCTATGCTATATTCTATTCTGTGATCAATATATAATAAGGATAAACGACAGTGTTTCCAATGGAAATTTAAAGCAAAATGTACTGTACTCTCTGTATTTTATTAGCAAAGTGTATTTTATACTTTGTTTTTTTCAGCAAAATGTATCAAAGTGTACGAAAGCCAAATTTTCACAATCTGAAAAACAAAATATAATGTTCGTCATTTTTTTCTTTCATATGATAAATATTTTGATCTCTAGCGAACAAATAGACATTATCTTTAATTAATTTAAAACTATATGTGACTTTTAAGGTTCAAAAATCAAAGAAATCAAAGTGTAAACTATTTTAGCAAAGTGTACATTGTACACTTTGTTTTTCTGGGCTAGTGTACAACAGAGTGTAAATCAAAAGTAGCAGATGCTCCGTACATTTTGTTTCTGCTTGGTACACTTGCCATTGGAAACACTGATAAACGATGTCACATTAGTCCATTCTACGGAAATCGATCACATCGATAGATGGCATCAATATACTATATAGAAATATTTTGTGATAAAAACAATTCTATAATATGAAAATATGAAATTTTACAAAAAAAAAAAAGAAAAAGAAAGAATGAACGAAAAACAGTTAGAGTCAGGTTGGGTAAATCAATTATACTTTTTGATAGGTTGACTTTTTCTTCTAATGATCCACTGACTGATGTGAATGGATCACTTCATCATTTCTAAACAGAATCCACCAATGCACTTGTTGAAACCATCTTAGAAATGAGCCCTTTAGAAAACTAATTATACAGAAAAATTAGGCCAAGCTCAATAATTTTATATAATATTTTCATTGTGGCCATTTTTCATTTTGTAATTATCGTCATACTATCAATTAACGACATCATCGGTACACCCATTGACATCTTCACATGTTTCAGTGATTTCGTGACGTTTCTATGGCTACTCTCTATTAGAGTACTGCACGGGTACAACTTTTCGTACCCGTACACTACCCGACACTTTATTTGTTACTCCGTACCCGAGCCGTAGATTCCAATTTCCTAGAATCTTCTCCTATTCCCGGCTCGCACCCCACATATCTGGAATAGAGTAAACCCTTCCCCAGAATAAAAGAGCATGGCCTTATATTGCGTCTCCGCACATCGTTGCTTTCTAGGTGACCTTCTATTGAGGTCAGCTTTTGACCAATTATTAATTAAAATTTTTTAAAAACTATAATAATTAATTATAATTAATTAATAATTTTAATTGAGGTATTTCTGGTATTTTTCGTGGAAAAACCGCTGTTTTCATATAAAAATATGCTCTCAATGATAGAATATGGAGCGATTTCTCAAAAACACAGTAATTTTTGACTAATTATTAATTAATATTTAGGAAAAATTAAATATTTTTGTAATTAATTAGTGCATGGCCTTCTAATAGGGCTGATGAACTTTTGTTCAGACATGGCCTTCTAATGAGGTTGGCCTTTTATTATGGGGAGGGGTTTACTGCACGGGTACAACTTTTCGTACCCGTACCCTACCCTACCCGTATCCAACTCTACCCGTACCCTACCCTACCCGTAACCAACTGTACGCGTACCCTACCCTACCCGTAACCAACTGTATCCGATACCCGCGTCGGGTTCGGGTACCCGACCCGCGGGTTGCAGTACTCTAATGTAAATTAACAAAAATAATATTTTCATAGAATCTATAGGTAAATTTGCCTTCTTCAGATCATAGATGACGTATATACCAATTGATACTACACAAAACCAACGTAATAACTAAAAAAACGAAGTATAATGATGATCGTTTTTTTAAAATATTATATGTCATATACCATAAGCTTTTTTGACTACATTTAATTGACTTTGAAGACCTTCATGCTTCTTTTGTAAATGATTAATTTGTTGTTCAAGATGATTCATAGTTGAATTTTTGTTGTTGAGCACTACCATCAAAGAACTTCGATCATATTGCAGCTGCTGTATGATTCATTCAAAGTCTTCGATTTGAATTTGTAGAAAACCAAGCTGATCACCTGGTGGTGCAGTGTTCTAAAAAAATTGAAAATATTATTAGTAAAATGTTAGATTTAATCTTTTTATCTAAAACATGAAGAAAAAATACATTGTTAGCTAGTGTTAGAAATAGGCTGCAGCAATTCTTAAAGATTGATACGATAAACGGTCGCATAATCTTTCTTGCTTCATTATCCAGAGCTAATGTGCGTAATGGATTCATTGAATCTGAAAAGTTCTGAATTATGATTAACTAGGAAGTTATGTCAATCAGGACTTCGTATGAGACGAACCATAGGACGCGATGGAAAACAACTTTTTTACAAAACATTCTATAGGATAAGACAAGTTTTACATCTTTTCGTGAGATTCTATGAGAAAATTACTGTGTTTGTTTCTTTAAAGTTACTGTTTTTGACGTACGTAACTTGTTTAGTGCTTTATGTTGTTTTTGAAAAATATCTTGTGGTAATTTCGATTGACATGCACAAAAGATTATTTTAAAAAACTGAAGTAGTTAAAAGAAACCATCTACTTCAAATACTATAGCGTAAATGAAAAAATGGAGCTATTGTCTCATAGA